ATAGGGATTGTGCTGTAGTTAGGCTCATAACCTTATTCAACCTTGCATCAGTTGTTACCACATTGATAATTTTAAATGTACTTATGTTACATTGCTTTGTATTACTCATATATTAATAGATCCTTTTTAGGTTGAAAGTTTGGACCAGTCCTGGTTTGGATTTGATTTAGTGCTGCTTGCCCCTGCTTCCTCCCTCATTTGGTGAAAAGCATTTGGAAAAACAATCTGTCCCTAATATACCAAAAAAAAAAAAAAAAAAAGAAAAAAAAGATCATTTGAAGTGATAGCAGTTGAAAAGGAGGGGTTATTGTTGCTTTGTATGTTTCAATCTTGAATCCTTACCGATTTCTTTTGGGTTTGTTCTTCACTGTAGCAAGGCTACCAGTCTAGATGGGACCTTTCCACCTGCTTGGATTGGATATGGGAACGCATATGCTGCTAAAGAAGAGGGTGATCAGGCCATGTCGGCTTACCGCACTGCTGCTCGTTTGTTTCCAGGGTAATTATGTATCTCTCTCAGTATCTTACATTGACCATTACCTTGAATTTTGTTTTCCTTCTGCCACTTGAGAATACCAGGAAGAAGATATGATCATGTTATTTAGGCAAATTTTAGAGATTAGTATAATTAATAGGAACTAAAGTCATTTAACTGAAACAAAGCACAAATTTGGTAGAACCTTCAATTTTTTGTGCTTGATATTTTCCATTAGTTTGATTGAAGGTGATATGGTAGGGCACATAAAGCTTCTGTTTTTTATCAAATAATAAAATTATGGTAAGAACCATCACCTACCTGTGTGCAGTGGTTAATGGTGTCAGAGTATAAAGGTATAATAAGAAAAAGTCAAGGACACAGCAAAATCTTAGGTCTTGAGAATTGGAAAACTTCAAAATGAATTTCTAATGATCTTACTTGGAGTATTATCATTAGTTTGTCTCTTATGTCCTATAGTCCGTAGTTTAATTTCTCTTATTATATATGAATTGTGTTTTACAGGTCTTGATATTCTCTTATTCCAGGTGTCATTTACCAACTTTATACATTGGGATGGAGTACATGCGAACCCATAGTTTTAAGCTTGCCGAGCAGGTAAAATAGAGTTCTGTAAACTACTTACAGATTGCTGTTTGTGATCTTGGTGTTCAGAAATGTGAAATAATCCTCATCTATACCAATCATACAAGGAAAACCCTGAATGGCATATTTACCTCATGACTTCCTACATTTTCTTAAGTCACAAACAACTCTTTACATTAAAAGATTAATCTATAAAAGTTTGAGAGCATGATGGGCAGTATGAGAAGTGGATAACTCCAAGAGGAGTTTGCTTTGTCATAAGCACCTGCACTTGAAGAAAAAATGAAATTGTAAAGAAAGGAGAACTTTACATGTGAAGGATGTGTGAAGGGACTACTGTTCTTAATTAATTATTGTTTTTAGCTTCCTTGAACTTTCAGTTTAGTCTTTAAAAATTTAAATTTTAATCTAAACTTTCAGCTTCTAATATATATTTTACGTATTCATTGCATTATTCTGATGTCACTGGCTTACCACTTTGGAACGATGACAACAAACTGTGTTCCTTCTTTGAATTGATGTCCAGTCCACTTGTCAAAAAATTGATTAGAATGAAAAAGTATAACATTGTTGCCCAGATGTGTTAGATTGATACGAGAATAGAAGTATCCTCTCCATCGATTTGTAGCCCTTAATACATTTCCCATGTACGTTCCCACCTGACAATAACGGATTCTGTGACCGGGTAGTTTCATTTGTAACTCTTTATCTTACAATAAAAATACTGATATAAGCCTCTTTGCTTCTGTAGTTTCTTATGCAGGCGAAGACTACTTGCCCATCAGATCCACTAGTATACAATGAACTTGGTGTTGTTGCTTATCATTTGAAGGAGTAAGTACTGTTACTGTGTCATGAGAAATGCAACCTTAAATAATGAATATAAGATAAGTTTGTAATGACATTTGAAAAGGCTGACCATTTATTTCTAGTGGTTTATAAGTAAGGATCGTACATGCACAATTTTCTCAAATGATATGTATATTGAATCACAAAATATTAACTCTACCATTCTATAACAGTCGGTTTGGGCAACTTTACATGTATAAGTATTTAACTGGCCCAATGTGGTATATTTATCTGGTGGACTAGTGCTTCGTTTTTCTCACATCCATATTTGTTCTCTTAAATTGCAGAGTGCAGAATGATTGTAGTTAGTAGGGTTTTATTTATTTTTATTTTGTTTTATCATATCTACAATGTTTTTTGTTGGGGTCGAATCCTTTAATCAATTTCAAAGTGGTCTTATGATGGATTGACAACTAAACGAAGGATGCTAATTAAATCTGCTTGATAATTGACTCTAATTTTCCCAAACAAGTTACCAGAAGGGGAAGTAGTTGGTAATAATTTGAAGAGAGGGAAATAATGTTGACTCACAGTGTCATATAACTTGAGAAATTTAACATTTGTGGTCCTCATGCTGTATGATTATTAATTGGCTCATATGAAGTTGCTACTGCATTAAGATTATGGAAATTGTATTTGTATTCTGTAATTTATGTGGACTATTAGGTCGTATAATCAAATCATTTGCATGTTTTATTTCCTTTTTTGTCTGTTCTAATTGCTGGCCATTTGTCACAAATTTTCTTTTCAGCCACACCTCTCCGATTTGTACTATGTGATTTTTATGAACATCTCTCTTTTCATACAGGTATACTAAAGCTGTGTGGTGGTTTGAGAAAACTTTGGCTCAAATTCCTTCCCCTTTGGGTGAAATGTGGGAACCAACTGTGGTTAATCTTGCTCATGCGTACAGAAAACTGAAGTACGTTATTTATTTGATCAGAATTTCTAGCATTTTGTTTGTTAGCAGTGTCTGTACTTCTTTCATCCTGAATTTTTTATTTTTTTCTAGGAGACTTTGGTACCCTTGATTTGTGGGGATGAGAGAATGTTCTCTGGAAGTTTTATTTCTTTGTAGTTTTTTGATATAGCGGAATTTGTTTTCCTCTTCAGTTTCTCTCTTCTTATTGATGCCTATGGTTTAAGTCTTTATATGTAAAACTAATATTTCCTCTAGTCTAACTAGATAATTCTACTCTGTCTCAGGATGTATGATGAAGCTATTAAATACTATGAGAAAGCGCTTGCATTGTCGACAAGAAGCGTGAGTACTTATGCAGGTCTTGCATATGCTTACCATTTGCAGGTATCTAAAGTTATAAATTACTTTATGTATTTTAATTTTTAAGAGAAGAATTGTATTTATTGCTCGTTTTTCTGGGCATTGCTTCTTGTTCTTGAAATGTGTTAAAAACTTGGAATCTGTGAATGCATAAATATTAGCAAGGGCTTCCGATTTGATATAATGAATAATTTCCACTGATAAAAGGTTGTTGTGAGAATGTGAGGGCAAATTCCCACATCGGTGAGGGATCAAACCCTGCAAGGGCTTATAAGGAGTTGGGCTACTCCCCATATAATTTAGCCAATTGGTTTTATGGTGGAACCCCAACTTTCTCAGGTTGTCCCACGTGTGAAGCTCAACGGCCACACATGCTCCACGTCACCCTGTTTGTGTTGTCCACGTGTTAGGCTTGAAAATTCGCCACACGTGAGGGGGCGTGTAATAATGTGAGAACAAAGTCCCACATCGGTGAGGGATCAAACCATACAAGGGCTTATAAGGAGTTGGGCTACTCACCATATACTCTGTTGGTTTTATGGTGGAACCTCAACTTTCTTTAGTTGTGTACTTAATGCAGACTGTTCTACCAATAAACACTCATTTTTGTAGTTACATGCATGATGTTCTGGATGTGTGGTCAGTTTCAATATCTCCCTGTCATATGTGGATAGAGAAGCTTCACGTTTGGAGAGAAGAAAATTTTAAAATTAATCGGCAGATAATATGCTTGTTGCATTCTCTTGTTTTGAAATGTTTCTCAAATGTTTAGTGAGGTATGCTGGAAACGTAGAAACTTGGATGGGTAAATAAACACGTTATTCAACTCTAAAACAATGAAATTGATCTATTCTTGCCTGGACAATGTTAGTATCACTTAGAATCTTGTGTCCAGACACCGAAACTTCTAAAAATTGAGTGCATGTGTCTTTCATCCCCATCCAGTATGATGACAGTACTTAGTGTTATTGTTTTTTATGCTCTCGTTTTCGCTGCTGTGCAGGATAATCTTAATGCAGCAATTTCATTCTATCATAAGGTGAGTAACTGTTCTCTCTCTCTCTCTCTCTACTGATTGTGAGGCTGATGATTCTTTATGTTGTACTGCATGACTGATGAAAAGGTTTAAATTCTTGGTCGTACATGGATCCATTAAAATTTCTGCAGGATGCCTTCGTGCCCAAACACACTTTCGATGCACCTGGAATATCTTTTTAGATGCTCATAGTGTTAGCATGAGATTGCTTGTAATGGCAGGAAGATGGTATGATTATGACAGAGGTATGATTACGTTTCTTTTGTTGTGTCCGTGCAGGCTCTATGGCTAAAACCAGACGATCAGTTCTGCACCGAAATGTTAAGCTTGGCTTTAGTAGATGATAGCCGTCGTGGTGTGGACTCCAGAACTGAATTTCTAGGCTTAATTACGTTTGATGAACGCGTTTAGTCTTGTATGCGTGTTGTATTTTACGTGCAATAGATACCCCAGTGCCTGAGATTTGATCAGGTGATGTAATATCTTAGGCTTTGTTGTATCAAAGTAATACGTCTGAACCTGTTAGCATCGACGTTTGATTGTTGAAGTAGAGGTACATGGGATTTTATTCATGATTTTGGCCAAATCTGTCCCTTTCACGAGTTTTCTTATTTAAACGAAAACAACGACGGTAATGAAGGATTAGGCAAGCATAACGAAAGAAAAGAGCGATTAGCAAAGTGCCCCAAAAATCTCCCTTGTGATTTGTTGCCTACTTCAAGGCCGACAAGAAGATCGATGCCCGCCGGACATTATTAACAATGATGCGATATCGGAAGCTATATTGCCACTGATTGTATTGTCATTTAAGAATATCCCTACTGGAGAGAGTAGGACAATATATATGTAGAGGAACTAAGCATACAAAATCTAAAGTTTCTCTTCTGTAACTTACTAAAAGCTCGAAAACGATGAATAATTAAAGTTCGATGAGTCATTAACACTACTTAGTCATGCAGTCTTCCGTATCGTACTATGTTAATTCCCTCTTCAGTCCCTTTTCGTCCGAGCAACATCAGCAATGTATTGATTCAAGTGCTGACCAAATATTTTCGTAGAGAATGACTCTGTGACGTGCCGTCGTGCTTCTATACCCATTCTCTGAGCCATCTGCGGGTCTTTTATGAGTTTAGCCATAGCCAAGGAGAACTCTCTTGGGTTACAGTCGCACAGAAATCCCGTTTCACCATTCTTAACTGTCTCTACAGGGCCCCCACTGTTGCACGCAATAACAGGTTTATGAGCAGCCATTGCCTCCAGAGGTACAATGCCAAAGTGTTCATCCTGCATTTTTGAATCTCTCATATTAATTTCATTTTCCCCATTATCCGATCAAGGGAACAAAATTATGTAATTTTTACCTTTGGCGTATAAAGGACGCATAGGCATTGGGAGAGAAGTGCATTTCTTTCTGCTGTCGAGCAAGAGGTGATGAAGTTAACTTGACTGGACACTCCTTCCCTTTCTGCTAGGCTTCTGAGCTCCTCTAAGTACTCAACATTTTCTCTCAGACGATTATCAAAGCCACCTAAAACATCAGACACGTATTACATTTATCATTCCCATATGTGCAGAAGTTATGCAGCACTACCAATCAATTAAGGAATGATACATGAGTATATCAATGTCAAATTAAAGCCAACCAGTAAAGCATTGAAGCAGAATTGATTCCTCTTGGAACACGGCCCAGGCAAGGGTTGACCAGGGTAAACTGAACCTAAGGACCCAGCATTACTTGTCCTGCTAGCTCAAATAGAAATCCAATGTAGATATGGTTGTTTACCTAGCATCCACAATAGGTAAAAGGCAACCCCATACAAACCTCGACTGACGAACACATACGAGTCCCCAATATGACCTAACTTTTAATTTAAGACAATATTTAATATTTAAAATGTTTAGACTAACACGGTCAGAAACTATTGTTTAAGTTAAACATAGAATTGCTAAAACTATGACACTTGGAACCCTGAGGAATAACTTTTGAGAGGTCAAACGAGTATGTAATCCTCCAATCAATCTAAATTCATTTCAGCTCACCAAATACCAAGTCACTGCAGTCTTTTACACAGTTATCACCCTATTTATCTACAAGTTATACGTCATCATGGCCATTGTTATTTAAATTTTGACATCTTTATACATTTTTCATATATATCATGCAAAATGACGCACAAATATTTCGCAAATAACAAAGGAAAATTTGAACACCCAATACAGGGTTCTGAATTGGCTATACGTCAGACAAGCTTACAAAACTGCTTATAAAGGGCACATGATACTGTAAAGCTCCCAACACGCAAATGAACTAAGGGAAAGCTTAACCACACAACCAGATGATTCCTGCATGCTTCCACTTGGTTATTGAGAGCCAAACAAAAATGGAAACAGTCTTTCAACAGAAACATAAGGTAATGAAGGAACACGCATATCCTATAGAATCATTAAGATTAGTAGGGAGATAACAAGTCGGAACTTGCCTGCAATTGTCAAGGAAGCTTCAGCCAGATCAGGACCTTGAAGGACATCCCCTTCAAGGGTACGGAGCAAAGCAAAAGCTGAAATTGCCAAGTCTATATTCTTTTTCCTCTCAAAACGATTGATAGACAGAAAATTTAGCCTGGAATGAAAAAACCAAAGCAGGAAAAACAACAGCAAACTACCAGATGAAATTCAGAGAAGAAAATCTTCAAAGTTATGGTTAGATAAAGAATCATACAGGCACCCTAAAAGTAAAACCAAAAGACACCAGCAGATATACGAACATGTTCATTACCTGTAAGAATTGGCGGGTTCATTAAACTGATTCACATTGACAGCTGGATAAAGAACAGCTGGCTGAATCCCTCGTGCGGCAAGATGCTTAAATGTCTTTGCAAACATAGATGCTGTAAATTTGCTGTTAACAAGAATCTTATGTGCCATCCCTGTAGCATTATTTATCAAAAAGAAAAAGGAAATTTAGTGAAAAATAGTAGTATATCCACAACAAAATAACACTGAAAAATGCACAAGAAAAAAAATAGAGGAATGTCATAAAGCCGAGATATGGAATCAGACCAGTTGTCATTTCTTCAATGAAGTCTATGGGTTTTCTATATATCCTCCTCAAAAGAGTTGTGTGTTGAGCCAACAATAAATCTGGAAAATGACAGTAAAACAAAACCTGGACAGGAAGATGTAATGCATTAAACAACTATACTACTGGATGCTACCAGATAACAATTCGTATGAAATAGGTGCAAATACCTTTGTTGCCTTCTTAAGCTTCAGTAGTGGGATGACAACAGAAACCTGATCTGCTAGTATTACATCAAACGATGGCCACATGACCAGCATGCAGAGAGCAACAAAAAGGCACCGTATATATGCACACAAAGCATGGAGTCGATAGAATATATGTCGGGGCAGGAAAGATCCATATACAGTAACAGGAAAGATACCTGTAAAACCAAAGACATTTGTTCAACACAACGCTGAGAAAAAATAAAACAAAAGAAAGGAAAACAAGTTATGTTGTTCCAACTTCTATACATTCCCAAAGGACCTAAAGGAAGTGAAACGTGTAAAGTTGTAAACCATCTTCTAACCCCAAGGCCTAACATTCATCTAACTACGTAGTCACCTATTTGAGGAAGTCCCCATTTACCATATTAGAACAGGAACATCCAACCTAAAATCAATTGGCGATAGGTGGAGAGGCCCGAGATGATAAAACACTTGTGCAAGGCTTTAGTTCACCAATGTCGGATTCACACCCTCAACAGGCAGGTCTGTATTTTTAACCATGTTTCTCATAGAGTAGACACACCAAGACTACCTGGTGTACCGTTATTTCTCCCTAAAAGCAATGCATACTATTTTCTTCTCTTATATGTAAATTGGGCCATCATCTAAATCTTCCACTAACACTCACAAACAGAAATTACAATCTCCTTTCTACAACTTCCTTTATTTATTTATTTAAGGTTTGTCTTCGCTATTTCCGACTACTGGATAGTCCGGATTTTTATCCATTACATTGGCAAGTAAGAAAAATAAAGTTTCCTCAATTCAACCATGACCTTTCATTTCTCGTACTACTGACTAGTCCGTACTATTGAAGAAAAATTGATTTATTTATGATATGATATTCCAAATTTGGTACTTATCAATTTGATCAAAAGCATAAATTGAAGTAGAGAAAGCCACACACACCAGAAACGGTCTCCTCAAAGCATCGATTTTTATCGTGGTGGGAAGTGAAAACGTGAACTTTGTGGCCATGTGATGCAAGTTCGACAGCCGCGTCGACGATCAGTCTTTCAGCTCCACCTACCCATCACATTCACCACAACAAAAACTCAATCCCAAAAACTCCTTCACAGTTTTCAAAAACAACGGAAAGAAAAGAGAAGAAGAGGAAGTTACCGATGCCCAGATCGGGATGGATGATTGCAACGTTCAACTTGGAGCCTCCTTTCTTCTCCGCCATTTCTTTCAGCTCCTTCTTTCTCCCCAATTATCTGCAGAGTCTAATTCAAAGTCTCAAAGGAGAAGCTTTTCTGCTAATATTGGGCCGAAACGGGCCGGGTCTGGCCCAAAATGTGTAATGATGAAGTGGGATTTCACAAAAGCACGTGGGTTGGTTCGATAGGATCCGACCCGGTTACAGTTTCGGGCCAAACCAGTCGTCTTTACCTGTTTCTCTAACACAGAACGGAAGAGAGAGAGAGAGTTTGTAAGACGAAGGAGAGAAATGGGTGGAGAAGAAATAGCGGGCCCACCAGCTCCGAAGGTCCTCCGTCTCCTCTATTTCGTCGGCGCCGGCTGTAAGTCACAATCTTTCAGATTTCATGGTTAAACAAATCTTTGGTTTCTAGAGAGAGAAATCGTTCTTCTTCCTGTTTTAGAGAGAGAAAGTGTTCTTATTTGAATTTTGGCCCATTTTTGTTTTATTTTTTTTATGTGTAGTTATTTGCACGGTTGGAATCAACAAGTGGCGCGAGATGCAGCGCAAGTCCATGGCTTTACAGCAACACCAGCAGCAGCAGCAGCTCCCCGAAAATGCCTCAAATGCCCTTGAGTGATCTCAGGTTTTTGGTTTCTGAAATTCTTGATGAATGTGTGTAAAACAATAACAATTTGAGTAATCTGATTTGAAATTTTGCATTAATATGGAATCTTGCTGTTTTTTGAGCTGGATTTTCGAATTTCGCCGCGGATTGTGGCAAATTAGTCTGAGATTTTAGGTTTATATGTGCCCTCCAGATGAACTCTGGTTAGAATGATCGAGCTTTAATAGCTTGTTTGTTGAATTTTATGGCCGAATAGTGGACGAATTTGTATCTTTCCATGTATAAAATACTGAATATGAATAATTCTCGGCATAATGTAAGAGCCCTAGTGACCAAAATCAACTTGAGATTGGAGATTGGGGATGAATTTTCGATTTTATATTCTTTTCGGCTTTTTTCGTGTCAAGTTTTGTGGAGTCCATAGTTTGATTCATGCAGTAGTATGCATTGCACCCTTCCTCTGTTGAACTTGTTCCTTGACTTTGTAAGGAAGGTAGAGTTTTCGCCTTGAAAGTCAAGCCAAAGCTAATTCGTCATTTGTTGTTCGGTGAATAAAGCTAGAGAAGAGTTCAGGCAATCCCGTAGAAGCATGCTTCTAGTTATTAACCTTTGGACGGTCATACATTGTACTCTTGAAGATGTCGATTATATGTCTGTGGACTTTGTATTTGTGAAGTTGTTTTGATGCTAGACCTTAAACCATCTCCACGTATGTGAGCAACAAGCATGCTTTAAAGCTATTAGTAAACTAAACTTGGTAGTTTCATACGGTTCTGTCATGGATTTTGCAGCACGCTTTTGAACTTGCCCTTTTGATTATTCTGAGATACTTATGCGCTAATCTCTGTAGTTTAACTTCTAACTATACATAATGTGCTATGAGGCCGTCACTCTACTAAGTTCTGCAACCTTCACATAACGTAGGTTATATGTTATGTCAGTTCTCTTCAAATGTTTCACTCCATAAATATGTCAAAATTAGTTGTGTCATAAGAACGGAGTTTGTAAAAAAATAGAGGGTCAGCAGCTGCTTTGAGATATATATAGTTTTGCCAATAGTGATTGTTCGAGTCTGACATTCTTCTGGCTACATAGTTTCATCTGTTGCAGTTAGATTTTTGTTTTTCTGTTTAGAAACGTTTTTTTTTGTCCAACGATCAAGAAGATTATTGATCTGGCTAACCACACTGGATTCAGAATGTGTGTCATGATTGAAAATCTCCAACCATGTCTATACATTTACAGACTAAGTTGGAGGCGTCAACATTCATCGATGCGGTGTGGGTTGCATGTCAATTTTACTCTTGTGGTGAAAAAACTGTTAAAATCTGGGGTAGCATCTTTCGCTCTCCCAAGCCGTCTATGCGCGGAAGAAGATGAAGATGGTGATGTTCTCACATTTGCTAGTAATGACATATGGGGGTGGTACTAGAGTTTAGCGTTGGTACGCCACATGTTATTATATAATTTATATAATTAAAGAGATTTTTTTTTTGTAGGGTTCTCCAATTATATAATGACATATGGTGTTTTGCTCTATGTTTCGGACACACTGAAAAATCTCTAGTAGTTAAGGTCTTAAATTTCCTCTCATGAATGACAATTAGTACTGTAGTAAAGGTGAAGTTTTAAGTTTGATTCTTGCCAAATGCGAATTTCACTTGTAAGTAAAAAGTCTTAGGTTCGATTTTTGTTAAAGGTAAATTTGATCCACATTATTACTAACTCATTATGAGACTAAACTCACTCCTCACCCTTAGTGTAGATAATATCGTTTGTGCACTATAATCTAGTGGTATCCTCTTCACTTGTAAGTGAGAGGTCTTAGGTTCAAGACTCGCCAAATGCGAATTTGAACTACATTATTGCTAGCCCATTATGAGGCTTAGCCCACCTTCTTTCCATTAGTGTAGATAATATACTTTGTGCAAAAAAAAAAAAATATATATATATATATATATATATTCATGTATCAACGTGATATATTAAAAAAGAAAAAAAATTAGAATCCCCACTCTTTTTCTACATAATATTTTTAAACCTTGGTGTTTTTTTTTATTAAGACGCATAAAACTAATGTCCACCTAAGCATATCTAAATTTATTTTATTTACATGTCATTAATTTTTTTTGAAATGAAAATATTTTTGAATTATAAAATATTTATGGGAACTTTCATGAAAAGTGTGTGGGCTAAATTTATTTTAATAAGAAAAACATGCTATAACTTTATTTAATGAACAACTCTTAAATTTTAATAAAAAGAACAAAATAACTTAAATTTTAATGAAAAAGACATAATTTTAATATTAAAAAAAAACTGATGTGCGGACCCACGCGTCTTTTACACAAATTGTTTATGAAACTTAATACACTGTATATGAAACTTAATAGTACTACACTGTTTATGAAACTTAACGGTAGATGAAGATTAATTATATATGTAGTTATATAATAATATATATGTATAAAACAATAGAAAATTCCTAATCCTACTTTTGTGTATATAATCTACAAGAGACGAATTTGACTAAATTCGTGCACAAACAATAGTCTAATACAGAAATATTGGAAAATATAAAATTGTTCGAGAGAAAGAGGAGAGGCGTTGTTGTCGGGGAGAGTAGTTGATGGAGGAGAAGGAGATGAAGAATAATAAGGCGATGATGAAGTATATATTGCACGAGCTTTACTTAGGTTTCTTTTATTTTCTTTTTTTTTTCCTTTTTTTTTCATTATCTTGTCCTTATCATTAAATTGAGTTATATGATGGCTTTTAGTTAAAACTCAAACTTTTGAAGCCATTTTAATTAATTTTCCTTATATTTTTTTGCGCTTCAGGGTTTATACCCTTTTGTTGGCTCGTTCACATCATAAAATTACCATTGAAATATAAAAGTTGTCGACAAAAGGATTACTTTGGAGTCTTTTGACTCAGATTAGTGCTCTTCGCCATGAGATATATGTATGGATGTGAATTTTAAATTGAAAGGTACTCTTGTCGATTTAAAACGTATCCATAATAACTTGAAACATACGGTTGCTAAATTGAAACGTATAATGACAATTTGAAACGTACCAATTCCAACTTGAAATGTACCCACATATCGGTTTGAAACGTATACAATACTAAATTGAAATGTACCCAATACAAACCATCTTTTAAAAGGAAATGTATCACTAAATTCTATTTTCCAAATGTACCATGGTACGTGAAAAAGATGGAAAGATAGGTAAAAAGTGTGCTAAAACAAAAATGCTTACCTTTGATACAGATACTTAGATCAAAAGGTGTGCATAATGAAATATGAAGGAAATGAATATGATCGACAAGGGAGAGCGGAAGAGGGTTGACAGACCAATTGAGGAAAGCAATGGCATGAAAAATTGCTAATGGTTGTAGAAGAAGATAGCACGTTAGTTACTTGTATCTTCGATATACAAAGTTAGTGGAAAAGGTGAATAGTGATTTTGGTGTCACCAAGTTTCAACAAAAATATTTGGATAAAAATGCTTCCAAGACAAAAAACTTCAAAAGCATCCCAAAAAAATGAGGCTGGGGCATTTTCGTAATTTCAATAATTTTTTTTAATAATTTTTTTTTGTGGTTTCTTTTTTTAATTAGTACCTAACCCTTTTTTTTTAATCTGAAAGTACCCTTTCTATTCTTTCTTCTTAGGTAGGCCCACATGTTTTAGGTTATCCGGAAGGAATGGAATGACTAATGTGATTTGAAACCCCTTGGAGAGCTAGGACACTGATTCAAACCACAGTATGGCCAAAGAATTCCTTTTAAGCATGTTTTCAGGGAAGCCAATGCAGTGGTTGATGCATTAGCATATATGGGGCATGGAGTTAGACAGATTAAAAAGCAAACTCTGGACTTTATAGCTTTTTCTAAACAGTATAATAATGTGATTCGATTTCTCTATTTTTAAACACATTCAAAACATCTTAAGAGATGTGTAATGCTGGTTATAAAAAAGGTCATTTGCACGCGGATAATGATGTAATTAAATTAGTTGTCAAATGATTGTTTTTTTATAACAAACGATATTATCTACACTAAGGGGAGGGGGTAGGCTTAGCCTCACAATGGGCTAGCAATAATGTGATTCAATCAGTTGTTTATTAAATATTATTTTCTCTATTTTAAACACGTTCAAAACATCTTAAGAGGCGTGTAATGCCGGTTATAAAAAAAAGTCTTTCGCACATGGATAATAATGTGATTAAATTAGTTGTCAAATTTTTTTTTTTTAACAAAGGATATTATCTACACTAAGGGGGAGGGGGTGAGCTTAGCCTCACAATGGGCTAGCAATAATGTGATTCAATTAGTTGTTTATTAAATATTATTTTCTTTATTTTTAAACACGTCCAAAACATCTTAAGATGCGTGTAATGCCGGTTATAAAAAAGGTATTTGGCATGCGGATAATAATGTGATTAAATTACATTAAATTAGTTATCAAATAATAATTTTTTTATTTTTAACAAACGATATTATCTACATTAAGGGGAAGGGGGTGGGTTTAGCCTCACAATGGGCTAGCAATAATGTGATTCAACCAATTGTTTATTAAATATTATTTTCTTTATTCTTAATGTAAATTCTATAGAGACCGATTTTATTATGTGAAATCAACTGCTTTAATTGGTTTATGAGGGGTTTCTTCTAGCATGATCTAAGATTATTCATTTACTTCAAATATTTGACTTTCCTTTTGTCAAGGTACGCATATAAGTACATTTAAAACGTGTCAGTCGCACGTAGCACACCGTGATTCAAAAAAGGCCTTATGCACACGCGTGAGCATGTGCAAGAAGGCTAGTGGTATGGAATGAGGAAGAAAACGTACATTAGAAGCATAATTAGGTCAAGTTTGATGTGTTTTAAGATTTTTAAAACTTATGTACTACATTTAGGAGATTTGGGATATTAATATGATAATTATTAATCAATTAAAGGTACATTATAAGCGCAAATCGTGCAATATTGCATTAAATATGTTACTTATAAAATATGTGGAACCTTAACTGTAGGAAAAATGTTTAATCAAATTTTTAAAAGGAGCTGATGTTTAGGAAATTAAAAAATGACCTCATTCAAAAATTATTTTTGTAGTACTTTAAAATCTTATTATGCACTCCTTAAAAAAGTTTTTTTTTTTTAAATATAAACATTTGAAGTGCGCAATGTGAGATTTAGAATACTAATAACAACACCCTAAAAATGAATTTGTTTTATTATATAATAATAACATTCAAGTAAAACTTAAAAGTTAAAGTTCTTGTATTTTTTTTTTTTGTTTGGTTCTTTAGGATCAAACTGTTTTTTATTAATCACTTCAATATTACGTTTGTAATTCTTTTTACTTATTATTTATTGATATTCATAGATTTACAATTAGTAAGTGGTAAAGTTTGTTTGATTTAAGTTCTCGTTTTCTAACATTAATAAATTATCTTACTCTGAAGAACTATATTAAAGAAGGCATTTTATAAATTTTCCGCGTGGCCCAACTTGCTTCCACGTAGCCATGTACGTGCCCTACTGTCGCTCCAACACCATTTCTTCTTTCGCACAAAACGCACCACCCATTCCCATTAGGTGCCCTTATACTCTGTCCAATTTGGCATCAATCAACAAACCAAAGATAAAACCCTCCAAACTTTCATCAACGGTCGTAGACAAGTAAACTAAACCCACCACCACCACAATGAGCAGCTTCACCAGCTTCTACGAGACGTGGTTTGAGCAGCTTCACCACCTCGTCCACCAGCTCTCCACTTGTCCCAGACCCCCCACAACTCCTGACCACCACCACCAACTCCTCCACGTCGTCCAGAAAGTCATGGCCCACTACGCCGAGTACTACCGTGTCAAGTCCCTTGCCGCGGAGCGCGACGCCCTCTCCGTCTTTGTTGCCCCCTGGGCCACCACCCTCGAGCGCTCCCTCCACTGGATCGGCGGCTGGCGCCCCACCACTGCCTTCCACCTTGTGTACTCCGAGTCCTCCATCCACTTTGAGGCTCACATCGTTGACATCCTCCGGGGCTACCGCACCGGTGACCTTGGGGACCTCACCCCCTCCCAGTTCCGCCGCGTCAGTGACCTCCAGTGCGAAACTGTAAGTGTATAAACCACATCAATAACAAAAACTTTCTAAAATAATTGAACTAAAAAAAATAAATTCTACAGTGTCATCATATCGCAACAATATTTTTATAACTGTTGGATTATTGACATTTCAATTTTATAACAAGTTTTTTAATTATATCACAAAATGTGGATTTGTTTAATATAAATTTGGAACTCGCGCTTAATTCTTGTAATTTAAAAAAGCATCTATTAGCACCCAAAAAAAAAAATTATTTTGCACTCTTCATTCCCTTACAAACGATTAGATGAGATTGCATTTGCATGTTGACGTTTTTGGATCGCTAAATAGCACCTTTTGGCGGGGTGAACAAGATAAACACTCAGCGTTCTACATGTGATTTTATAACTATACATATTCTTACAAGAAAAAAATTGGAATCAATGGTATAATTAAATGATGCTAGATAGCTACTTCATTTTTTGGTGCAGGTGAAAGAGGAGAATGCGATATCCGATGAGTTATCGGAGTGGCAAGACGGGGCGTGTGAGCTGATGGGCGAATACACTAATCTGGAGACGAACATGGGATTGCTGGTGAGTGTGTTGAAGAAGGCTGACGAACTGCGGCTGAAGACTCTGAGAAAAGTGGTGGAACTGCTGACTCCACAGCAGGCTGTGGAGTTCTTGATTGCAGCTGCCGAGTTGCAGTTTGGTGTCCGCGGCTGGGGGTTGAATCAGGACCGTCGGCGTAGGAATGTGTGAATTTCGGTTATGTTAATCAGACGGTGTTTTTTTGATCGTTGGCGGAAGTTAATCGGGTATACACCGTCGTTAATTTGTTTGCAGTCTTGAAGTACTACCAACATATTGTATGCAGGCTGTTTAACGTTGATCTTTTCGTGTTTTGTATCCTCCCATCAGCACCGATGATCAAATAAAGAATTAATCGTATTTACTTTCACCGTTGGATTAGTATATGCTTTGAATTGAATGCTTCGTAGAAGGAAACAAAGTATTTTCTTTTTGTTGTGAAAAAGGAAGGAAGGGAGACAAAAAGCTTTCGTCAAAGGTCCAAGTTGATGGTACGTAGTTGGAAGATATTTTGACGTGGCATCGTGTGAGGCCCCATTGCCATGCAAGCTGCCACCTGTGCTTCTGCATGGACGTTACTAGTCATGCTAACGCATGCATTTTTGTTGTTGCTGTTGGATTATTCATCCAGTTATGAATGTATGTGTGGGAAACCCTCCTGATCTACGAAACAAATTAGAGATCAGAGGTGATACAAAATAGAGAAACTAAGAGAGAGTTTGCCAGTGCTAATCCTTTAACGCGGCCCATGATCATGTGCTTGTGAGATAAAAAATTTTAAATTAAATTTGCAAATCAAATTATGTAGCAGCAAATTTTCAAACTTCTAGGGAAAAATTTCAAAAATTTCAAATGCTGAAGGAGACAAAAGCTTTGCAATCTAGAGAGCACAATTTAATAAATAAACAATGCCAAAATTAAAAGTAAAATAAAATTAATGGGAGAGATCTAGATTGAGAGATAAATACTTTCTAGCACTCAAAACCTAGAATGGTACAGAAGATGTAATCATTTGTGCGAACAACACTTTGTTTAAAGGGAGACTTTGGATTCGGTCTCTAGTCACTAATACTCTTTAACTAAAACCTTAATTGTATTCTATCCTTGATTATGAAAACCTCATTATATCAATATTAATATGTATATTTCTAGGCTTTTTATATTAGCATCCCACAAAATGTTGAATGCACCCCATATTAAAATTTAATATTAAATGATTTATTTACCCTACCATACAATGACAATTTTGAACTTATTAGGTTTTAAGAAAAAATATTCTAAATACACCACAAATCACTTTTAATGTATTATTTATCTTCTTCAACTATTAAAATCCCTCCGACCCTTCATTGTTGAACAAAACCCTAACCAATGAATAAACATGTTGATTGAGAAAAATTATTTTTGACGAATGGAACATGAAATCGATGTTTCGGAAGCTTCACATGAGGTAAGACTTCATATTCTTTATTGTTTTAGTGATTTTGACGATATCGATAATTATTTAATCTTACTTTAGCTGCGTTATTCAAGCTTCTATGTTCGCATTCATCTTTTAGGGATCACAGGGATTACATGAAGAATTAAACACCTAAAATTACCACCAAATATTAAAAGCAGACGACATGGGTTTTAATGGTGGAATTGAAAACAACCCACATATGCTTTAATTCTCAGGCGACATATTTGTCAAAATTCCAGTCGGCATTTTTTTGTCCAAATTAAAAGCTTTATAAGATTTGAGAGATGTGGGGTGTATAAAAAATATGGGGTGCATGTAGAAAATATAAGGTGTATATTGAGAATATGAGCTGTGAGGGTATTATGAGGAAGTAAGTGGGGTGTATTAAGATAATTTCTCATTGAAAAAACAAATGTGAGGTGTATTAAGTATGTGGGGTGTTAATATAATAAGCCTATTTCTATATGTTTGACATTTATGAGATTTATAATCCCATATTATGTGTGTGTATATATATGTGGCATATAAATCCTAGATTTAAAGTCCCTCATTATATTACAAATGTAATAATATGAAACGGCTACAGTAAAAAGTTTTCAAAATTTTTTATTGAATAAATGAATAAAAACAATGTAATAATATGAAATCATAAATAGCAAAAGAATGTGTCCATATGTTAAAAAATTGTAAATAAGCTATATAGTAATGAACCCAAAAATTCATATGGATACATTATTTTGATTGAAATTTTATTATACCAAACTTAAAATAAATTTTTTAATTTGAATACTTTAATTAAAAGACAAAATATTAAATTTTAGTATTAATTTCTCCCTATAATCTTACAAAGATGGATAATTCATCTTACCCTTTTCAGATTTTTTAGTTTTTCACAAAATAAAATGTTTTATTTTATATTTTTAAATAAGAGTACATTTGAAATTGAAAAAGGGGTACATTTAAAAATTGGTACAGAAGTGGTACATTTATAAAGTAGAATGGGTACATTATGGATAAATTATGGGTACAAAAAAAAAAAAAAAAAAAAACTAGACTACAAATAAATCTTTTAAAGAAAGGGGCACAAAAAGAAATTAATATATGGTACAATTTAAAACTAAGAAGAAATTTAGTACAAATTTAAAAAAGGGTTGCAAATTAAAATTGGGTACAAACAAAAAATAAAAATATATGATACAAAGTATAGCCATAAATATAAATATACCAAATGTAACATTTCTAATACTAAATTAATATATTTTAGAAATTTATTTAATTATGCTAATAAGTAAATATTTTATTATTGAATAATGGCACTCATTAAAACCTAAGGACCTTGATAAAAAATTGCAAAGAAATAAGGTTTTAATCAATGGAATAGAAGAAAGAGGGATAAGTGTAACAGCCCGTCCCAAATTTTACGTTTTTATTAACTTTAAAAGCGTGAATTCATGAAAATGCCTTAGAGTCAAGGACTTTGACTTTTATTGATCATCGGTTAGAGAAACGTATGATTTATTCTTTTAGCATATCCTCGTAGTACTCGTCACTACGGACGTGTGGGCGCAAATGGGACGTGATTTGGAGCTATAGCAAGGGAAATATTAACGTTTGAAGTTTGGGGCATATTAATAATTTGGTTATTATTAGAAAACTCTAAAAAAAAAATTAAATGAAATCTGGTGTGCCATGTGGGTGGCCCAGATTTAAAGACAATGATATGGATAGTTGTGATGGAAAGGCAAGAAGAGAGATGAGAGATAAATGGAGCAATGAGGAGAAGAGAGAGAAGGGAAGACCAATGAGGGAGGAGAGAAAGGAGAGAAGAAGAAGATGAGGGAACCGGCCGGGTTCATCATGACCCGTGACCCGACCCGGTTCCATCTCCCGATTCTGACCACCATGGATGGCGAGGTTGGTGTCAAAATAATCCTTAACTCGAGGCCATTCGATAATTCTTCCTATTTCACCCAGAAAATCAAGGGATTTGGCATTGATTTCACAAAACCTGCACGGTGAGGTGCGGAGGTTTTGGGTTCGAACCACACAATTCTGAAGTTAACCACATCCATCACCACGACCCATAGCATCATCTTGAGGCTTAGAATAAAGCCTAAACAAGTTTGGGGGCGGCGGAGTTGTTTTGGAGTCGGATTAAACACACCTAAATTCAAGGGTTTCGTACAATTTTAGTAGAATTGAAGCCTTTTCAGGTTAAATTGGCCTTAGTCACATGTATAGATCGATTAGATAATTTTCATGTTTGGATCGTGTGATTTGGTTGAAAAATAAGAAAGTTATAACGATTTAAAGTTTGCCCAGTTTCCGGCGACCTCTGCCAATTTCGAGGCATTTTCCGTCCAAACCACGGCGAGTTAGCCTTCAAGAAAAGTATCAATATCTTCCTCTCGTCGAAAACTAAGATTTCCATTTTTGAATCACTTGATTTTGTGGAGTATTGACAAAGTTATGGACGTTGAAAGGTTGCCCAGAAATACTGGCGAGTAACCAGTTTTCCCGCGGACAGCAGTATTTCAGACCATTTTCCGGACACCTCCGGCCACCATTTGGACTCCAAGCTGGTATAATTTGTTCAATATTTCTCTAGCTTCGATTTGGTATATTATGGGTTGAATTTGGTTGAGAAACAAGTGAGATATGGAGTTCTAAAGATTGTCCGGAAATCTGCGAAATCTGCAGAATCCGGCGAAGTTCCATTAAGGTCCACCACTTGATTAGAATAGTAATCGACGATCTGACTATTGGATCGTCACCAAACGTTTTTAAATTGTAGTACATAATATTTGAAGAATGTAGGAATTTACAGATTGGGAATCCGATGTACGGATCTTCCCGAATTGGATTTGTAAGTCCATAAAATAGAATGTTAACCGCCACTTGGTTTTGGAAATTGGCGGAGATCCAACCATTGAATCATAATGAAATTTTAATATGTTATTATAGAAGCATAATGTGGATCTTTGAAAGTTTCGGATTGGAAATCTGATATGCGGATCTTCCAGATCGAGTTATACAGGGTTGTAGACCCTACCGTCGATCTATGATCAGAAGTTGACTGATGGTCAATGAGTCTCAAACTATTTTAGAATGTCCTTGATGATGTATTTTATGTGAATTATGTATTTTATTGATAAGAGTTCTGAGATGTGATTCAATAATTGTTATAGGCACCAATCATTCGGGATGTCTCGATGCGCCTGCTAGAGAATTATAGCGTGGACTCCAGGTGAGTGGGTATTTTCCTTTTATTATAGGCATATAATTGATAGTTCCACAAACACTTCTAAAGTGATTTATGCATGTTACCTACAATTAATTATTGTGAACTACGAATGGCTTGATCCCTGTTTAGAGTACGTAGGCAGTTTAACGAGACATTAGATGCAGCCATACAATAAGTGAGATTAAATAATCGAGATAAAAACTTTATTTGGGAAAATGAGCAATGTGAAGGAATTTGGTGAAAAACGTGAGATTTAACCCTATGTTTTGGGTGAATAAATGTTGGTTATAAACCAACGTGCGAAGGAAATGAGAAATTGTGGTTTTATGTTTTATAAATGCCATGCAATAGTTAGTTTACATTTTAGTATGTGATTTAGTACAACCTTGCACAGTGTTGCACACCAATGCGGAGGCTAAGGTAAGTTCAGGTGAGTATATAATATTGGTATGATTGAACGGTAATTAGTAATGAATGGATGTGATGAGATATTTATGAGTCATATAGGTCACTACAGGTGACTCCGACTTATATGCTAGCCATGATTGATGAGATATGAATAAGTCGTACATGTCACTATGGGTGACTCCGACTTATATGCTAGCCATGATTGATGAGATATGAATAAGTCGTACATGTCACTACATGTGACTCCGACTTATATGCTAGCCATGA